GGTTTGAGCAAAGAAGAGAAAAGAGACAACACTCACAGACGCTGACAACTGTGGTGGCCGCTGGGGGAGGGGGCTGGAGGAGGTGGAGAGGGAACACCAGCTTTCAGTAAATTCTGGGGCTTCTAGGGAGTTATCAAAACTCAGGGCGGTCCTGGGGGCTTCTGAAACTGCAGCTGGTGTCAGAGTGAGGAGGGCCTTGGGAATCCCCACAACTGGAACTGTTGGAAATGAGGGCGGTCTGTGGAAAGCTCCCTAGCTTCACCCAGTGTCACTGTCTCCCTATCAGAGTAACTGTGTTTCCTGAAATATGAAGTGAGGCGTAAGCAGCCTAGGGAAATGCTGATGGTTAATGCCTAGAGGGTGTGGCCATACCTCTGCCTTTGGTTCCTAGAACAGAATTTCTGTGGTATAAAAATGACTCTCCTAAAACTCCTATTCCAATTTCTCATTATTTGGATATTAAGATTTATAGTGTAATATCAAAAGAGAGATAAACACACAGACAATTTAAGATCTATGCACTCATAATTTTTTAAATCTTCTTAGTAATAAAGTAGGAATGAATAAATGTATTAAAATTCAGAAAAGTATTATTTTTAGTTAGAAATATCTTCACTACCTCTGTTACTTACAGAATCCATGAGATAAGCATCCAATACTCCTGTTCCATCATCAAGAGTAAATGTCATCACAAACACATGCCGAAGGGGTACAATGCCCAGTACTAGTGAAGGGAAAAAAGATTTAACTATATGAATAGTATGTACCTATTAATTTTGTTTACTAAAATAATTCAGAGGGAAAGAAAAACATATATATATGTATACAGATGTACACACACACACATATTTTGTTCTCTAATACCAATATATTAAGCTCATTATAGTAGGTTCATTTTGAACATACATTATACCTATAAACAAGCAATGACTCACAATTGCATCTTTTTGGATTAAATACTGATATAGCTTTAAAATGAATTGATTTTGATAGAAAAAAACAACTGATTTATGAAATACAATTTACTACATGTTAGCTTTATGAAAGACAAAATTAAAATACCAGAATGCTCTAAAAAACAGCATGCAGTCCAATATTTATGATTATGTAACATGTCTCTCCTCTGTACTATAAGCATAAGGATCACTTATTTTTTAAGAGATATCAGCTGGGTAAATGGAGAAAAATGTCAGAATCTGGGATTCATAATTTGGTAAGATAAGGAAAAGGAAAAAATTAATAAGATAATAAATCACATAAAAATTTATAAGTTAAATGAACACCTTTGTGTTTGGAAATGAAAGACATTCAATGTTTATAGAATGGAATAGGGTTTTCCACTTGTGGAATCAAACAGAACTAATTAAGGGGCAAGTAAGAAGAATAAATTAGGGCATACAATCATGACAGAAATTGTTAATACAGAGAAATTTAATTTTAGGATTTAAGAGGTCTCGACAGATTAAAACTGTGAACTAAAACCAAGAAATATGAACATAAAACCTACTCTGAGGGACCATACAAACAGACAACTGCATTAAGAATAGAATAGGGAGACCAAGCTGTATGGCAAGAAACTTATGTGAAAGTAACCTGGAATTTCACTGACCACAAACAAAATAAGAGAGCAGTATCATATAGCTGAATTAAAAGAAGAAAAACAAAACCAAGTATATGAATTAATATCTATACAGTAAGTTCTCAACATTATCAACAGGTTCAAGCAACATATAACAAAACCAATTTTACCAGAGGCTAACTGATATAAACAAGAGTTAAGTTCCTAAGGCATCTCCTCAGTGTTACCATGAAATGACAATGAATGAAACAATCTTACTCAAGGAAGGACCTGCTATACAATGAAATTTTTCGGCTAGTGGAAGCAGGGTGTCCAATTTTAGGGAAATAAAAATTTTGTTCATATTTTGAATTGGCCAATATCTGCAGCACTATTTTCACCTTTGAATGCCAAGCTTTGTAGAGAACATTGGTAAAGTGAAATGTTTACTGAGGGGGAGAAATAAGGAATATGGGAAAGTACCGAAGGAAGTGAGATGCCTACTTGGAGAAATAAAGACTAAATGAAGGTGCAACAGATATTTTCAAAGGTACAAAGTCTGTTGATCTTATAGAAGAGGGAACAGATATACTCTAATTCTAGTAAACAGAATGTGGCCCAGGTTAAAATTACAGGTAGGCATATTTTGTCCATCATTTAAAATGGCCTAAAAAGCCCTAGACAGTTTGCTTAGTGGTTAGAGCATCGGCCTGCAGACTGAAGGGTCCTGATTCGATTCCAGCCAAGGGCACGTACCTCGGTTGCAGGCTCGATCCCTGGCCTTGGAAGGGGCACGTGCAGGGGGCAACCAATCGATGTACATCAGTGTGTTTTTCTCTCTCTCTCTTCCTCCCTCTCTCTCTCTCTCCCTCCCC